TAAATAGGTTTATACGGCAAAACGGCTAATAGTTGAGCACTGAGGATCATGAACGTTATTGTATCGCCTAAAATGTTCACTTTCTACTATAGACACGGGTAGTGATGCACCAACTACTAGATGTTTCACAACGGCTGCCAAAATTCTTCGTTGCTTGGGGTGGGTGCGGCCGTATGTTGTCATAGAACTCTCTCTCAAAGCAACTACAAATAATAAATGCAATATCATTCTCATGCTATAAAGTATTAATCCTTAACGCCATGCTTTATACGCTAAGTTTAAAGCTTTATTTAAAAGCTTCGGATTAAGTGGTAAGATGTAGTACGACACTGCAACGTATTGTCGTACAAGCTAATAAGAACTGTTATGGAATGTCAGACCTCTAGTAGACTACTTGCCTACTAGAGGTAGACATAGAACGGACTCTAGGGTTTAATATATTTTAAATATCTAATAAAATAAAAACAAATTTGTATAAGTAAATAACCTGCTCGAAAGTCTGAAATCTTAGATTGGTCTGGTGAAGCAGCCGTTTGTCTTGTCTGAATAAACTTTTGATATAATTCATATTTTCCTGGATGTATTTTTAAATGGCGAATGAAGTTACTTGTAGTCGCAACTCCATCGGTAATTAAAGCTTGGCAAAATTTACATCGTGCCGATCTAGTTTTTCTTTTTTTTTTTTTTCTCTAACTCAGTATAATCAAAATTAATTATTCCAGGTACTGCAGGCATTTTTTGAATTTTTATAGCACTCATAGTTTTAAGATAACTTATGAAACTTTACAAATCACCGAAATTAGTAGGGCAAACACAATTTTAAATACTTATAATTAGAACAGCAGTGCAAAGATTTCCGGAATGGCGGACGCTTTTTTATAATGAATTTTATAAATAAATTACATGAAAAAATAATAATAATAAAAGATAATTTTGAAAGTAAAAATAAATAAGAGAAAAATGAAGATTGTTAAGGAAAGAAAAACCAAGAATTAAAAAAAATTTAAATAAGAAATTAAAATCACCAAACATTTATAAACAATAAATTTCATGAGTTAAAGAAAAAATGAACCAATCAGAACGCACACAAAAAAGTTGGAATTTTTTGAAAACGAAAGAGCCTAAATGCGATATTTTTCTTCGGATCTCGATTAGACTACAAACCAGTTAAACGTAAGTTAAAATAAAAACATTCGAAAATAAAAAATAGTTAAAAAACAGTTGAATTAAAATAGAAAATAAATTGTTCCATTTTTGAAGAAACGGAAAATAATAATTTTAAAGTCGTTAAGCCGAAATTAGCAAGTCTCGAGTCAAGTCGCAAGCCTCAGGGTAAAACCCAAGTCGAGTCTCGAGTCGATTCACTGGTGTGACTTAAGTCGGACTCGAGTTCGAGTCGGTTGACTCGAGTCTCCAGTTCTGGATCATTGTATGTTTGAAGAACATTGTGTGAAAAAACCATTTCTGTCAAATACATAGTTTACAAATTAAATGAAAAATATTACAAAAAAAGCAAGTATAGCATATTTTGCTTATCCGTAGTATTCAAAATAAATAAAAACGATGCATACTCGATATAAATGATAAAAATGATGAAATTGATATACAATTTTTTATAATATATCAATTATAAAAAAATATTGATTTACAAATATATACTTATTAATTTTGTTAAAATCGTTTTATTTGTAAGTTTTAATTAATAAGTGTATCAACAATAATATTTGTCTGATATTATTGTTAATACACTTATTAATGTCATTACATTGTGGAATGGTATCCAACAATAATCATCCCTTTTTGGCGAAAAAAACTATTCAGATTTACCGTGTGGATGCATACTTCATTTTCATATCATTATATTCTTTATCTCTTTCTTCGACTACTGCAATCCACCAAAATGAGTCATATGTGCATGTGTAATATTCGTACCTCTGCATTAGCTCAAAATTTATTAAACTTAAATTTTGGTAACTTGATTTTTTGGTTATATCAATAGATTTTGCATTTATATTGTTACTAGTTTTCTTAAGTAAAATAGATGTTTTCAAAACTGGTATGCAATGGTGAAATCCTCTAGTTCCTGGTATTGTTTTTCCCTTCTCAAATCATTTATTTAGTGTAGCTCTAACATTAACCATAGTTTCTTTATCAATTTTAAAGAACTTTATTGTGAGCATTTTTTGAGTGCAAAATTCAAACATTGCATCGATTGTTAGTATTTGATTTTCCTTTGGACGTTGCAAACGTTCTTTTGCTGTTATTCGTTTTACTGTACTACCTATTGCATCACAAGAAGATTTGCCATGGTTGGTTGCAAAAAGTATCTATTCAGCATCCAATAAAAAATCTTCTAAGTGATGGCATAGATTTAGAAAATTTTTATAATTTTTATACTGTCCTCCACATTCATCAGAAAAGTAATACAATTTGAAAATGAAAGGTAGGATTTCTTTGATATAACTACATAAAATAGTCTAAATTTGATAGACAAAACAGGTATCGCTTATCGTATTGTCAGACATAAAACAAAATGATTCGTGTAAAATTATATCATTTACTTTATAGTATAAAACAACTGGGTGGGTACATCCAGATTTACTCCAATGATAATTGATCTCATCTTGCACAAAAAGTTCATAATCTTCTGAAAAGTGACACAAATCACGATGCACTCTTTTTCAGTTACATATATATTTGGGAAAATTGTCATCGTTTTCAGCAGTGGCGGATTGAGGTTTAGTATCACGGGGGGGCCAAGTCAATGAATAGCAGCAACCGGGGTTGTCTTCCGTAATTTGATCTTATATTTATTTATTTATTTCTTGCTTGTTTAAGAGGGCGCCGTTAGACCGTTCTAGGAGGGCGTAGGGGGGGGGCAGCTCGCCTAATACTAAATCCGCCACTGGTTTTCAGTTATATATGTATTTGGGAAAATTGTCATAAGCGGTAGCGCCCAAACTTTTTTTTTTTTTTCCAGAATAATATGTTCAAGGTAAATTAACATTGAATATATTACTGGTAGGACTTCCAGAAGATCACACGATCATATCATGAAGCCCTTTACAATCTATATTAAGAGTCAAAATACAAAAATTTACAAATATTTAAAACAATATTTAAATGCGTTTATATATTATAATACTCTTTATATGTTAAGTAAGTTTTAACAATATTTTATAATATATGTGAATATATGTATAATATTTCTCAATATTCAATATTATGCAAAAACAAACAATCAAACAAAAAAAGCAAACAAAAACTCGAAAAATTACATCAGTTTTCATCAGTATATATGTAATGTCAATATATAATATATAATATGTAATCTAAAAAATACTGTCGTTCAGATTACAATTCCTTAATTATTTTGTGGAATAGGTAATAATTTAAAAATATAAAGATATGTTATCAATTGAAAAAATTACTTCTTTTAGTTTTCTTTTAAAAGAAAAATAATTCCAATTATGCGAAAAATCAAAATGCTTTAAAACTATTTTGTTCCATAAAAAGGCTCCACGGTATTGAATGCAAGATTTGTCTATATTTGATTGAAAAATTGGTTGTTGGATATGTTTATTATTTCTTAATATATACTTATTTTTTTCTTTCATTGAATATAACTTATGAAAAGAAACAGGACAAGTATTAATTTTGCATTTAAACATAAAACAAAGAACGTTAAATATATTTGCTTCGTAAATATTAAGAATATTCACGTTTAATGATAAAAGTCTGGCATAAGTAAAACGATCTTTAAAATTAATAAGACGTGCTACATGCTTCTGTTGACAAAGCAAAGGCTTTAACTTAATTTTGTTGGTACTACCCCAGGCAATATTAGCATAGTTAATATGGCAGTGAACTAATGAGTAATAAAGTTGAATTAAAGTATGTTTATTTAAAATGCTTCTTGTTTTATATAGAGTCCCAATACTTTTTGCAATTTTATTATTTAGATTTCCAATGTGATTTTTCCATGAAAGATTTTCATCCACAATAATACCTAAAAATTTAGTATAAGTTACTCTTTTTATATTTATTTTATCAATGAAAAGCGGCGGCATTTCACTTGGTAGTATATGCTTTTTATAAGCTGAATGAAAAAAAATCCACTTAGTTTTTTCAATATTAAGTGAAAGCTTATTTGATTTAAACCAGTCAGATATTTTCTTTAGTTCTACATTCATGTCATTAAATCAGTTGTTGATGTCATTTCGGGATAAGAAAAGATTAGTATCGTCAGTATACATTATTGTAATTAAATTAGAAGTTTTATAGAGGTCATTAATATAAATTAGAAATAACAGTGGTCCAAGTATGGAACCCTGGGGGACTCCACAGGATATATCTAAAGCAGTAGTTGTTGCGTGTGTATCATGAATTGTTTACGATTATTTAAGTAACTTTTTAATAACATTTTACCAGTGATACCGTAATGTTCTAATTTATTTAATAGAATGCTGTTATCAATAGTATCAAAAGCTTTAGATAGGTCTATAAAAATACCTAAAGTAAATTGTGATTGTGAGAACTTAAATACATATCTGCTAAGGAACCTACTTTTAAAAAGTGGCAGCGATAAAAAGGTCTAGCATAATGAGATTTAAGTTAAGTATGGTGCGCATATTTTTTAAATATATTTTTACATAACCGTTTCTTTGTTTTAACTACTTTTTATAATCAGTTTAGATAGTTACATAGGAATGTCTCGACATTTATATTTGTTCAAGTTTCGACATTTAGTTTTGTTCATATAAGTTTACTTATATGTTTTAATTATGTATAAATTTTAGCTATGAATAGTCTTGATAAATTTGAATTATAATTTTTATAAAAAGTAAACCTAGCGGACATAGAACGTCCACTAGACGACTTATGGGCGTTCTACTGACGTGAGACTTTCATTGGATGTCGTAAAAACGTTTTACGGACGTCTGTGCCTGCTCAAAATGTTTTTTTTTTTAAAGCGCTCAAGTTACTGCGATAATTCCGTTAATTATTTGGCACTGGTGAAGAGCGCACATTTAATTAACGCGTTACTTAATTCTGGAAAACAGTTAACCAGACTGCACTAGTTTAATAAAATTTCGTCAGTACGTCGACGTGCGTACAAATCAGACATTCACTTGTAACCTAAGTTCATCATGTCTCGAAGAGGTGGTAGAACTCCTACATCAGTGTTTGTGAGAAATGTGCACCATGATGTTAGGTATTTATTACAATTTTTTATGATAAATACGTGCAATAGTATTACAAATGCTGAAATATTTAGTAATACAAGTAGATGCAAATTCGCAAACTTTAGTTGCTGATTAATAGATTTATAAAAACTAACATTAAAGTATTAAAAAAAAAAAATATAGTAATTATGTATTTTAGACCTGAAGATTTACGTCGTGTATTTGAAAAATATGGTGACATTAGTGATGTTTATGTTCCTCTTGACTACTACACTAGAGAATCTCGAGGGTTTGCGTATATTCAATATCTTTTCACTCACAGTTTATATATGTTTATAAATACGTGCACACAATAATTAAATTATCTGGGTGTGCATGTGTTTATATATATATGTTTGTATGGGTACATGTGTGTGCATTTTAGTTTACATATGTGTGCATGTTAGTATATATATTTGTGTGTATGTGTATAATGTAGAGAGAGGTAGCCATTCCAGAGGATTTTTTTCTGTCAATATAATTATATATAATTAACATAGTTGTATAGAGCTTAAAAAATGGGAAATCTTTGAACTTTAGAAGTTAATTGGATCCAAAGTTGTTGCATTTTTTGTGCTAGAAAAACTCATGATTTTTTGATAAAACACCTTGTCCTTAAGTATGGAAAATTAGGCATGAAATGGCACCAAAATAAAATATAAAAACATTAAAAATCAAAGCAAACAATACACAAAGGAATAAAAACACTATATACATATTTTCTAAACAAAATTCCTAAGTACCATTTCTTCAAGAAAACCTAAATAAATACTTGTTTTAAACTGAGAAAAGGCTATAATTGCCATTTCCACATAGACTCTTTCTCTCTCTGTTTTTTCTATATAAATTAACCTTGAAGTTTTTAAACTCTGAAAACTTAAAAATTATGTTTGAATGTTAAAAAGAGTCCACATTTGATTCCTTGTCCCTTTTTTAATATATATGAAAAGTTTCATACAAATTAGATGCGTTTTGGTGCTTAGGAAATCTTTACTTCAAATACTACCTTTGAAAAAATGTGTCCTGCAGCATGTTTTTTTATCAATAGTTGTCTTAAGACACGAATAATATATAAAAGAAGCTATACTAAACATAGTACTTTATATATATATTGGAAAGAAGTCAAGTCAAACTAATTGATGCTAAAAACCTCAAGATTCTAGCTTTATTATAAAAAAAATATATAAGAGAGTAAAGTTCTTAAAAATTGTTGTTTTTTTTTGTCAAAAATCAAATGTTTTTTGTTGCACTCTGGAATCGCTAAGAGAGGAGAGAAAAAAAAATTCTTTTCACCTAGTGAGCTATATTTCTTTTAAAACTAAATGGCTTTTTTATTAAGTTTTTCTAAAACAGTTTTTAAGTTTCTACCTTACCATTATATTTTATTGAAAATTTAACCTAAAAACATTTTAAATCTGGCAAAAAAAAATTTTGAAGTAATTTTAAGTTTAACTAATTAAGAAATATATATTTGCAACAAATTTGTATAAGCCGCATGAGTGTAGAACCACTTTCAAAGTTAATATAGTTAAGCAGTTTTGAATAGTTTTGTTTTTCCACTCAAAAAAGAGAATACTTAATTGTGTTTTACTAGAATAACAATTATAGAAATAGTAATGATTGTAATGAATATTTTAGGAAGATGACATAAACAAGAGAGAACAATGATATTTAAAAAAAATTATTTTAGGCTGCTTAACTGTAGGACTAATTTTTTTTTAAAAGACTTCATTTAGAAAAAATATATATTTAGAGAGACTAAGCTTTTTGGTTGTGTTAAAACCAATTTTTAAAAATTAAAATAAGAATGACAGACAAAATGAATGGTTTTATTTAAAGTTAATTTCAACAAAAACATTTTAATTTTTTGAGAATTTAAATTTTAATTGTTTTAAACAATTTCCAAGTCCAATAAAAACTAATCTCTGATTTTGAACAATAAAATTTCAATTTACCACTAAAACAGTTAAGTATGAAGCAAAGTGTTGTTTAAATTTGTAGTTTTTTAATAGTTTTCCATCTTTTACAGTGAGAAAAATAAAGCAAAGTAAAGATCCAGTCAAATTAAATAAGGAAAGTTAACTTGTAATGCAGTGAAGGTTACCTCCTGAAGTTATATAATTAAAGTGAAAGTTACTCAGGTACATGCTTGGTTATTTAAAAAAAATTCAGTAAATTGGTGTAAAAAGAATTAGGAATATAGTTAAATCTGTTTTTTTTTTTTTAATTTATAACGTCAACAAGTTATGCTTTTTTTGTAACTTTTTTTTTCAGTGAATATAAAAGTTGTTTTTTATTTATAAAAGTAAAATTATTTTCAAAAATTTTCATTTGTTTCATGAGTCATTGTGTTTTTGTTATCGACTTTTTGTGAAATAATTTATTAAAATAATTCTTATATTGATTTAAGGAAAGATAGCATAAAGCTTTAAGAAAAGGTAGTAAGGTATAAAGCTTAGATTATTAACTATTAGATCTATTCATTAGCAATTTATAAGATTTTAAAATAAAGTTCTATTTAGTAAATAGAAAAAAAATTTCAGGTAGTATCTACTAGAAATATGGTTTTAAGCAATTAAATTTTACCTCTTTTTTTTACCCAGCAACCCTGAGTTATCCAAGTTTTGTTACCCATTTTGGGTAGGGATAGTGTAAACAATAAAAGCTAAATAAATAAGAAATGACATCATTATTACTATTTATACCAGAAGAGTTTATCAAATAAAAATAAAAACTGTTTCCACAAATGTCATGAAAGATACAAATAAAATGTATAACATGTTCAGTAAAATTTAAGCTACAAAATATAATTAAAATATTTAAGCTAAATAAAGAATGTTGATATTACAACACTTACAAATAACAATAATATCAACTTAATGTTTTAAAATTTTAAAATCTGCTTAAAATTTCAATAAAACAAATTGATTTTTTTTCTTTATAATTATTTACAACTTTTTCCAAATTTTATTTAGCATAAATATAATCTGAAATTTTATGCAGATTTTCAAATTTTAAAAATTAAGTTGATATTATTGTTACTTGTAATTGTTATAATATCAACCTAATCTTAATTTTATTATTTTATTCTATATTACTTTGTGTCATTTATTTGATCTTATTTTAATTAGTTTTGAGAGAATTTTTTTTAGTTTAATTTTTGAACAGAAACTTTTTATTACTACTTTAATTATTTGAGAATGACTGGGATGGGATAAAATTGTATACTCAAATTAAAGGAAGTAGCCAGGATAGCAAAAAAAGTCAACTAGTTAAAGCAGGTTTATTTTCTTATTTAGTTTTGTTAAGTAAGTCAAAAGAAAATTTTTATTCCAACTTTTTAGAATTAATTGGATAAAGTCAAAGAAAAAGATTTTTAAAAAGTTGTATGAAGGTGAAATTTTCAGAAAAAGAAAAATAATAAAGTACAGGTGAAAAGTAAAGAGCACTAATTGATGGTTTAACTGAAAAAGATGTAAAGAAAAGGGGGAGTTTAAAAATGAAAGAATTATAGTGAAAGAAAACATAGGTAACTGTTATTTTCTAAACTTTTTTTAAAGAATAGAAAATTTAATGATAGCTCAAATAAAACTTTTATGGCAACATCTTTTTAACTTTTTTAAATTTTTTGTTTTTGACCATACTATCTGGTTTTCATTAAACAATAAAGTTAAGCGCACTTTTTAAGATTATGTGCTCTCTTGTATAAAGTGAATAATTAAGTGAAGACATTAGCAATACGCTTATGTCTTCACTTAATTATTCAATGTGAACAATTTGTTTTTGTTTTTTATTATATGGGTTTTAGGTTTTTGCAGATTTTTTATTGTATTTTGTTTGTTAATCGTTAAATTCTTATACTCAAGTATACAAAAGTAACAAATTATAACACCATTATTTATTTTTAAACTCCAGTGTATTTGGTCCAAAGTAATAAAAATAATGATTATCTAGGAATAATTAAATATAATATGTAAATGTAAACTATACCTTTAAAATCAAGTTTAATAAGTTTCTAAAATGTCATTTAAATTCATTAACAGATAGGCATAGTAAATTTAAGAATTTAAAAGTTTTTTTCTTAATCTTTTTTTTTTTTTATTATTATTATACTGATATAAACATTTTCTCTCTCTCCATACACATTTGCATTTATATAAGTTTTAAGAAACAGTCTAAAGTATAAAATTGTAAGATTATTACAAAACTTTAAGTAGCTTTGCAAAGCTAAGTCACTTTTTTAATTAAATTTTTCACATGATTTTAAAACTATAGTATGTAACAATAAACTACCAAATTATTCCTTGCTTATTAATATGTTCATTCAATATTTTATGCATTTATTTAAATTTAAAATTAAATTTGCTATGATTTTATTTATGTTTAAAAAAGTTGTATTACTCATTCTGTAAATAAGGCCCCATAAAATTTGATAGTTATCTATCCGAATATATATGTGTAGATGCTATCTGCAAACCCTCAGTTAGTGAGTATACTGATGATTCCACAAAAAGCTATTTTCACTAGACCTTAAACACTGTCATTAATGTGTGTGTGTGTTTTGCCCTTAATTTTTTAACTCTGAAACACGAGCCTTAGCAAATTGCTGTGCAGAAAAACAAGTCTTTGTGTGTATGTATATATATATATATATATATATATATATATATATATATATATATATATATATATATATATATATATGTGTATATATATATATATATATATATATATATATATATATATATATATATATATGGGTGAAAAAATTATATTTCTATTTAAAGAGTTTTGTATATAAATATATATTTTTTTATATAATCATTCTATGGCTGAATTATTTAAAGATAAGTGCATATAGCGAGTGTATACATTTAAGGTTTTGGTTGCGGCTGACAGTTTTTTTGATTTAAATTTTTTTAAAGTTTATAGTTTAAAGCAATTTTTTATGGTAAAACTCTCTGACAACCAAGTATGAGTATGTGTTACTATATTTTATATTTGTTATTTAAATTTTAAAATTAATAAAACGTTTCTTAACTTTGAATGGCATGTTTGATTATGAAGATGATGCAGAAGATGCAGTTGATGGTTTAGATGGAACAACGTTATTTGGTCGACAAATCTTTTGCAAAAATGCTCGAGGAGGACGAAAAAGTATTTTTGCATTAATCATTTTTTATGATATAATAGTTAATTTTAAAATTTTTGTAAAATGCAAGTAATGCATTAAAATTTTTCAAATTTTAATGCATTACTTGCATTAATCTTTATGGTAGCATATGGTAGTAACAAATTATTTATGGTATACTAACAAGGGTTGGAATACAGTTATTTCATAATGGAAGTTTTATTGCTAGAGCGGATACTGGCTATTCACTATAGAGTATATGGAAGTGGTAATTCATTCAAAATACATATATTCAGAGTAGTTTACTTATAATATCCAAAAATAAAGATGCACATGAAATTAATAAATTTAAATGTAACAATTATACTTTTAGAGAATTAATGATTTCTTTTGCTAAAATATCAATGTGAAAAACCTTAGAGTTATGATAAATAATTGCCAAAATAAATGTAATTTTATTTTTAACATTGTTAGTTATTAAAGTAACTGTTTTTATTTCTGTCAAAATTTAAGATTTTTAACTTATTTAAAAGCTTATTTGTTTTAAGTTTCAAGTTTAAAAGCAACTTCTTTTAGCTAAATTTTTTTTAGATAATATTTTCAAATGTGTCATTTGTTCAGTATTATCTTGTCACCAAAATATAATTTTAAGAAAAATGGGATTAAAACTTCAAAAGACCAAAAGTATTAAAAATCGACTCAATCGACCAAATTAAAAAAAAAAAAAAACATTGAATATATAATACACTTATAAACCAATTTTAGAAAATTGTTGTGTATTTTGTGTTTAAAATAATGATTTTTTTATTTTGAGATGACAATCAATGAATGAAAACAAATTCCTGCCAAATTTTACAAAATGCAAAAATTTTATGTCAATTTTATTGTTATTTTTATTATAAATTTTATCCAAATCATTTATCTTTTTAAATATCAATATTTTTAAGCATGTTATGAATTAAACGTTTTACATAAATAAATTACGTAAATCCTGTTTTAGATATTTGATTGTGTTCAATAATAACGATTTGTTTTAAAATATTGATATTAAGAAATCAACATGTATAAGAAAACATTGCATAACTAAACACAAAGAGTTGCCATAATATTTTTATAAATTTCAGACATGTTGGGCATTATTTTTTAATATCTTCTTTCTTTTCTTCTGAAAGTAAAGAGTTTTTTGGTCTGAATAGGCAATTTTGGAGCAACAGGATTGTCTGGATTTCTTCTTTTTAAAGACTGTTTACCTAAGAAAAATGTTGTGAAGTCATCTGCATGTTTTGTCTTAAGTGAAACAGTAAAAGGAAGATGAGAAGTGTATTTTAATTATTTTGCTTGATTAAAAGGCATTTCGGTAAAGTTGTAGCTTTTAGCTGCAGCCTGAATATTAAAAAAATCAACATCTTTCATCTGCAGATAATTGGTTTCTGGTGCCTAACAGACTTAAATATTCTTATTAAACTTAGTGGGCTCTGTTACTCAGTTTTAATTTTTGGTCAATGTTGATATGCACTGCATCTAATTCTTAAACACAAGCATGAGTGTTTGCAGAATATTTTTGAGTGACTAGTGCTGAAATAGTTAATATGAAGAATTTACTCTGACTTAAATTCGTTTTATACAAAACTGAAGTGTTTTTATTAGACCTACCTAATGCTTTTAAATGGAGAAAAGGGCAGAAAAGAAGCAATTTTACTTTTACTTGAATTGTATGATAATTAGGATTAACATCAGAGTTATTCAAATCATCTGAGTCAGTTGCTTTTGCAGTGTAGATTAGATTACTAAAAACTCTAGTTACAATAGTGAATAGTAAGCCTTCTTAGGAAGCATGTGCGGTTTTTTCATCTTGTATGTATTCATATTGTTTGGTTTTTTCATTATGTCCACACATAAGTATTTTATTTTAGACAACTCAATCATTATTAAGTTTTATCATATTTAGCGTTGCAGAAAAAACTAAGTTTCAAAAACAAAGAAAGAAAAGCTAACAAAATAAGAATTTTAAATAAATTTAAATAGCAAACTGTTTTTATTTTTGTTTACTTAGAGTGCTTGTTAATTTCAGCAACAAAATTGGATAAGGAAAAGGGAAGAAAAAAACAGTTTTAAATTGACATTGAAATGAATGATTTTCATGTTTCATTTTTTTGTTTTCAAAGAGGAAAGACAAAATATAAATTGCTATCTGTTTGTAAAATATATTTGTATAATTTTAATGTAACTTCCTTTTGGTCTATTATGTTATTGGTATATTATTAATATACTTATATATTAATGTTTAATAATATATATTAATAATAATTATTATTACGTATATTTTACCAATATCATAGACCAAAAGGGAGGGGGATAGTGGAACTAAGCACACGGAGCCAAATGTTAAAAAGCAACAGGTATCCAAAATTACAAATCGCTAAAAGATAGGGAATTAAAAACAGACTGGAATAGAAAGGCAATATAAAACAATTAAGGCTATGTGGAAAATGTGTAGAAGGCATGGCCTAACTGAAGCTTTAAAACTATGTGTATATATATATATATATATATATATATATATATATATATATATATATATATATATATATATGTATGTATATATATATATACATTCTTAAGCAGTAAAAATATATTCCTGGCTGCCACCCTGATATATATATATGTGTGTGTGTCTGTTGTGCGCCTTACTTAGAAAATACACAGAAAGACTTAAATAGTATAAGAAATGACACTGAATGATATGAATTTAATTAAAAGGATTAAATGTTATAAGGAGTCTGACTGTAAAGTTATGTATATTATTCAAAACATACAACAAAAGATTTTTATACAAAAAAAAAAAGATAAATGGTTACAAAGCAAATATATGACCCAGCGGTATTTAAAAGAAAAACAATCAAAAAAAATGGATGGCATTGGGATTTGAACAACAGGCATACCCTGTATGAAGTTAACACCTTATCCAAATAAGCAAAACGTAAGTTTATTTAAGAAGAAATAGAATTAGTTATATAATAAAAAAAAGTTACACATAAAAGTATATGCATGCATGACAGGTATATTCTTATAGGGACAATATATAATTGTTACATTAAAATTATACAAATATATTTTACAAACAGATAGCAATTTACATTTTTGCTTTCTTCTTTTAAAAAAAAACAAAATATAGGAAAATTCTTTTTTCTCATTCTTTTTGATGTCAACTAATTTTTGTTTTGTTGTTTGTTTGTTTTTTTGCTTTGCCTTATTCAATTTCGTTGCTGAAAATAACAACCACTCTAATGAAACAAAAACAGAACACAAATTATGTAAATTATAATTTTTTTTTTTTATTAATTTTGCTTTCTTTGTTTTTGAAACTTTGTTTTTTTTTTTTTTTTTTTTTTGCAACAACCGTGACCAAGTTGTATAAATTAAAATATTCATGCCTGGACATACAAGACGAAAAACTGCACATGTTTCCTGGAAAGGAATAGTGTCAATATTTTATCTATAAATCACAGGAGTATTATCATCAAATCAAGAGAAAATTTGTATTTTTTCTGATTTTTACAGGAAGTAAAAATCAGACAAAATACAAATTTTGCAACTAGGTATAAAGTCTCTAAAAGGTCTCTAGGTTTTATGGGTAATGATTTTCTATATTTACTCGGACTTGAGTCTTAATGCTCCAAATATGGTATTATGACTCCAGACCTATAAACAGGAATAAATGAACAAGACTGTAAGACTTTAAAAAATAAAAAAATAAAAGCTTTTAATATATGTATATTTACAAAAAATATTTTTTAAACTGTGATAATATTATACTAGATACAAAAATATTATTGTTAACTTTAAAAACAACCGATAAACATACTAAAGTTTAAGCTGTTTCATGTTTGTTTATTTAAAAACACAAATGCTAAAATCAGGATTTATATAAATCTTTAAAATTTTTAAAGTATTCAGATAAGTTGAATGTAAATATTAAAGATTAATGGTCACAGTTGCTTTTATTTAACAATTTTCATGATTGTTCAGTTCTTTCATTTTTTCTTTTTTAATACTGTTAAGTATTAAAAAAGAAAAAATTTTCACTTTTTTAAATACTGTTAAGTTTTCAGATTTAATACTGTTTACATTATATATTTTAATTTTCTATTAGGTTTTTATTATATATCTGTGTTTTTATAAAAGTATAATGCTGTAATTAATTATATATAAATAAATGACATTATTAATAACTTTAAAAGGACTTATCCTGGCCAGAACTTATACCTGGCCAGAAAATATGTGGACTTCATGTGTAAACAAGTGTATTCAGGACTAAGTATGAATAAGAATACTCTTATTGCTTCAGAAGGAAAGTCTAAACTAAGCATGAGTGTTAGGCCATCCATTAAAAACCGTTCATTTCCGTTGCATTAAAAAAAATAACGGAACTTCTGTTAAACTCAGTTCCATTAAAATTATTAACGGTAATTTTCTGTTAAAGGCTGTTAATTAAAAAATGCAACAAAAAAGGATATAAATATCAATTGTCTTATTGTGTGTTGTGCTAAGGTTTTCCTTGCTACAAGTTATAATATTTCCTGATGAACTGAAAACCTTTTCAGACAGAGATCATTTTTTGTATTGCTGTATCAACCTGATACAGCAATACAAAAAATGGATCTGGAATTTTTAGCCAAGATGGGAAGAACCTTTGAATTATCTTTGCACCGAGTTATAACATTTGTGTTGCTTCTGGTGACAGGCTTGGCATTGAAAAAAAAAGACATTTCTTCTCCAGTTGAAGACATATCACCCATTGCAATATTTTTAATGTGACCAGAGTTGTTAACAATGCCAATGTTTTCAAAGCCTTGGCCTAGGTCAAGGCCAAGCATTTCAAGATCAAAGACATAAATTTTGGTCTTATGTTAAGGCCAGTTATTAACAAAACTGCAGGTAACAAATGCTGTGACAATAAAACTACATGAAATTAGACCAAGGTTATGCACAGAATTTGACAAATGATCGCCGAAAACAAAAATACATAAAAATAAAGAACTAACTTTTATTTCTTTATTTCTATGTATTTTTTGTACTTAATGCTAACAACTAATATTAATATCTTTTAATTAAAGATATGTTGGTATTAATTGTTAGCGTTAACTACAAGTTATAACCATTAACTCTCGCTATATAGCCTATAAGTCAATATTAAATTTAACAAACATCAAAGTTTCAGGCAACAAATTAGACATACGAGCTCTATGAGGGCACATTATCAATTCTGATAAAAGGGCACATTATCAATTCTGATAAATAACTCTGACAAAAGATATGTTCAACAGGAGTTGACATTGCAGGGACACAAAAATACTTGTCAAATGTAGATTTCTAATTTTTGAATATTTGTTTATTTGGGTACAGTTTTTTTAACAAAAAATCTTTTTGATTAAATTCTAGTGGTTTATTTGTTCAAGAAGTTTATCAAAACTATCTTGTTTAAAACATTTTGTTTTTTATTAATTTCAAAAAAGCATAATTTTTTTTGGTTAAGGGCTTTTAAATCTGAGGTGTAACACTATTTTTAGTAGATGTCAAAGTGGTTTCTGATGTTGTTCTTTAGCAAATCTTAAATAGTTTAGAGACTGAACTATCAAAGAAGGATAATTAAACTATTGCTTATTGGTTCAAACTTCGATTTTATAAATAAAATTATATATATATATATATATATATATATATATATATATATATATATATATATATATATATATATATATATATATATATATATATATATATATATATATATATATATATAAACTCTATTAAACATACATTAATAACAATTTTTTTAAACAGATTTGAATAAGATGAATAAAAACAGTATAAATAAAAAAAATACTAAATTATAGTTTAAATATAATAAAAACTATTTTAATTCAAAAGATCTTTCTGTTTTTTAATTTTAAGAAAAAATCATGTAAATCTTTTTTTGAAATGTTTTGACTAATAAATTTTTTTAAAACATAAAATGTGACTTAACATAAAGATATAATAAATTCTCATTAACCAATCATGTCATTAACTATTGCTTTAAAATGGCTTGTCAAAAATGACAATTTAAACCGTGACATAAAACACAAAGTTAAGTTCTAAAGCTTTCAAGTAAATAAAAATAACTCTTATAAACAAAATCAACTGCAGTAAAAACTTTAAAATCCAAACGAGAAAGAAAGTTCTGAACTCTTAAATAATAGTCCTTGAATAAGGAAGGCCAAGGCCTTAATTTTTGTCCTTAAGACCAAAGGACTAACAACCCTCCATATGACATTAAAGCAACAAAAAAATCAATTGGCTCCATGAAATAAAAGTTTTCTGTGCTTGCTATTGAAATAACTTTTCTAGGTTATGGTTCCAGATGGATACTATTTGCCTTTTGGTTGATTCAAAATACTAAAAAAATAGCATGATATTGTGATATTTTTTATGTTTTTTTATGAAATTTATATTTAAACTTACTTCAAATTTTTCTGAAACAGCTCCTCTATAATATGGGTGTAAGAAATGTGAATTAATGTAGAAGTAGAAAATGTGCAATTATCTTGTTAAAATCCTCTCTACCACATTTTGGCATTTTATTTCCAATTTCAGTAAGCAAAGATTCAATAAAAGCTTTTATGCTCGGCAATAAAGTGTGATTTTATTTTTTTGTTTGTGCATGGTAATGTTATGAAATCCTGCTATAACATTTTGAATCATTTAAATGTTATCAGCTGAAAGTATATAACATTTTTTTTAATTCTGTCTAGATAGTAAAAATTTATTCAATATAACAGTGTCTAGCATCAGGTATTAATTTTTTAACTCTGAAATATCTTCTCAGTCTTTAATAGATTCTAGCGACTCACTGTGTGCGTGGTGTGGCATTTGTGGGTTCTTAAAACTGGCTCCAATGGTATTCTTTTTATATATGGACATGTGAAGTCTGTTTTTGCATTAACATGCACGCAGAATGTTCTTAATAAAATCACGAATCTTTCTTACATTAATAATATGAACCGAAAAAAAATTATTCAGTTATTGGTACAGAGTAAAAAGCTTATCACAAGCTTTGACAAAAATCATAAAAGTAAAAAAAATGACGACCCTTATGTATATGATGTATATTATGTATATGTACTTAATATGTTTATTTTGGTGAAAATTATATATTTGTAAAATATTAAAAAAAGATTAAATCACTTTATATTTTTAGCTCCACATCAAATGAGGTACAAGGAAGGCCCGTACAGGCAATTTTCTTCAAATGTTTTGTTTCCTTTTTTGTTTAATTTAGTTAAAATGTATTTTTTAAATGATAAAGTTTTAAGTAAAAGGCTGTTTTTATTTTTATAATAACTAGGAGAAAGAGTTATTCGCGAAGCAGATCGCGCTCACGTAGTCCGAAAAGGCGTCATCGAAGATCGCCATCCAGATCACGATCTCCTGAACGACGTTCAAAAGCAAAACGTTCCAGAAGTCGCAGCCCCCGACGCAGGTCTTTTAGCAAGTCACCTATACGAGAAAGCAAAAGAAGTCGAACTAGAAGCAAAAGTCGCTCTAGATCTAAATCCAAATCTTATTCGCGTTCTCCACGTTAAACTTACTTTTGTTTACTGCATTTTATTGGCTGATATTCACTTCATTGAATTATTAAGTTTATCATGTTTTATTGGCTGATATTCACTTCATTATTAAGTTTATCATGTTAAAGCTTCAAAGAATATCAATTATATCTGTGTTGTAATGATTTTATATCATCCAAGTCAAAATGAACGAACTTATCAGTTTTTATTACATTAACGTCGTATTGGTTTAGCAATACTAAAAGACCCAATGGGCACTAATGTGAATCAAGATTTATTCATGTGACAACGTAAATATTAAAATGTTATATAAAAAAAAAAATCAAACAGGTAGAGAAAGTGTTTTTAAAATTTTCTTTTACACCTATTTATCAATCGAAAAACATAATTGAAATCATTGGTGGTGGCAGAACTTACTAGCTAGGCTCCTCCGCCATTTACCTGCGGTATAAGTTTTTAAAAAAAATATTTAACGTTTATGGTTTTCATAAAAGTCGATCTCTATTATTAACAACCTATAATAAATTTAAAAAAGCAGCATGTTTCTTACTTAGCGTTTATGAGCTGTATTACAAAATATTCTAACTTTATTACAAAATAGCTAAATATTATTTCATTGATAATATATTTTTACCGTCATTTATAAAATGGCTAAAAGATGTTAATGAATTATATAATGGAAAATAATTTGCTTCTTTTCTCCACCGTTTAATAATTTATGCTTGTTATCAACAAAAAACAAAAAAAAAATCACAAACCGCACTTTAAAAATTGAAAAGTATGTAACAGCCACTAATAAGAACTTTTGGCTTTAAATATCGCTTAAGCCTTTGAGAAAATCGCTTAAGCCTCTGAGCCGATAAGACGTTTTTTGAGCGTAAGTTTTCAGGAATTTTAAATTTTTTTTTTTTTTTTTTCCGTATTCTTTATCTTTCTTTTTTACTTATTTTTCTAACTTTTTCTAACCACTACTTCTTTTTCTACTTATTGCTTTATCTAATTAGCTTATTAATTACTTTTCCACTTAAAATTATAGTAATATATTAACTATTCGTGTCTATAATACAGTTTTTTGTTGTACTTCGCATACCTAAATTAAATATAATTCTTATATTTTATACCTATACTTATATTTTATTATATATATCTTTATTTATATATTACTATTATAAAAATAGTTATAACTGAGATTTTTTTTTATGCTTCAGTTCGCTTAATTTTTTCTTTTTCTTTTTCTTCGCCAAAAGTTGCGTTTGCACCTGTTCTTTGTTTTTAGTTTTCTGAACAATAAGCTAAATTTTTGCGCTCTGACACAAACTATATTAGTAAATTATATATCCTTATATTATATATAAAATACATATAAAAAAGTTATATATAAACATATACAAATAATATAAAGAAATTAAATATATACAAATAAATATGATAACACGGAAAAAAACACATACTGAATCTTTTTAGTCCCTGTGTAATAAGTTATTTGTCATAATTGTAACAAATAAATTTGCAATAATTGTAACAAATAAATAAACATAAAAACATCACTGATATAAAAAAAAAAAAAAAATTCATCTGTGATGACTAATTTAACACCAGCTCAATTAAAGCAAGTCGAGGACGCAATTAAAAAACTTATTCATGCTGAAACTGCGAAATGGTCGGCCAAAATATCTGAACTAGAACAAGTAATAAAGCAACAACAATTAATAATAGATAAGCTAATCCAAAATCCTAATGAGCTAACTAATACCACAACCAGTAGTATCGAATCCAGCTGGGTTACAGTTGCAAGCAAAAACATAAAAAAAAAGCAGCCTATTGAACAACTAAAAATTATCAACACATTTGCCATTGAGCAACAGCAAAAAAAGAAGCGTGAAAAAAATGTTATTATTTATGGCATTAAAGAATCTGCAAAGTTATCAGTTGCTGATAAGCATATCGACGATAAGGAAACGGTTCAGAATATCTTAGTTACTATTTCATCTGATGCAAAACCAAAATCTGTCAAACGTATTAAATCTACGTCCTCTAAACCAGGACCAATTATCGTCGAACTTTCTGATGTCTCCGAAAAAAACCCATTATTAACAGCAGCAAAAAAATTGAAAAATTCAGATAATTATAAAAATATTTTTATAAGCCCAGATTTGACTGAGGCTGAAAGATATTTAAACTATCAGTTAAGAATGAAGCGTAATGAATTAAATAGTAATATCAATTTAAAAACATCGCCCTTTAGATACGGTATACGAAGCAGCGGAGTCGTCAAACTCAAAAATATACAAACCACTACATAAACATTACTACCCTTCTTCCACTCTTTTACCAGCAAACTTAAAATACAAAAGTAAAAATCTTCATAACAAAAAAACAAACTATAGCGTTAATTGTTATTATACTAATGCTACATCTCTCGATAATAAAATGGCCGATTAAATTTTAATATCTAGAACGTTTGATTATCACGTTATTGCTATCTCTGAAACATGGTTTCGAAATGACTCAGTACCTAATATCGATGGGTATAGCCTATATCGTAAAGATCGTCAAGACGGACGTCGAGGTGGCGGTGTAGCTATCTACATTACAGACGTATTTAACTCTCATGAAGTTAACCAATTTTATACAAATCTTCTCGAACAAGTCTGGGTATCTGTAAAATTTAACAACAAACATATACTTATCGGTTGTATGTACAGACCAAATGATGCCAGTTTAATAAAATATGTCGCTGAATCCTTCAAATTAGCTCATAGTTTAATTAAAAAGCCCTATGATGACTGTTTGATTGTCGGTGACTTTAACTTCCCGAATATAAAGTGGTCTAACGATGGTATTGAATCTTTTAACCCAAACAATCCTACCGAGTATGATTTCTGGAATATTTTCCAAAACAGCCTTTTTACTCAACATATCACATTTCCTACTTTCCAGACTGATTATGGTTCCTCAAATAATATGTTGGACTTGTTATTTACCTACAACAGTAATTCTATTTTAAACTTGTCTTCTAGTACTATACTAGGTAACACCACTAAGGGTCATTTTAGTATCACTTGGAGATTCTTAGTTTCAGAACTGTTTACCGAAAGTGAATCTCAATCGTTTAATTACAAAAAAGGTGATTACGATTCAATATCTAACTTTATTGCATCAATCGACTGGGAGTTTTTATTCCTGCATAAAACTGCAGATCAAATGTTCAATATACTAATTTCTAACTATCGCACTGCTTGCACATATTTTATTCCCAAGATTAATAAAACAAAAAAAAAGTATGATCCTTGGGTTACCCCACATATTAAAAACCTGATCCGAGAAAAAAAATCCGCTTGGCATATAAACTGCTCTACCAAATGGGAGAATAGTGAGCTTAAAATAAAATACAATCGCCTTAATCGTTCAGTAAAAACTGAAATATTTAAAGCAAAAAAAGCACATGAAAAAGAAATAATATCAAAATCCCAAAACAACCCAAAAATCGTTTACAAATATATCAACAAACAACTAAAAATTAAAGATAGAATTCGCTCTCTCAAAGATACTTCAGGCAGAATTATTGAAGCTCTTCCTGATATAGTTGATCTTCTGAACTCTCAATTTAAATCTATGTTTACACTTGAAAGCTCTGAAAATTTTCCTTTGCTAAATAAAAGTGGTATTCTTTCTGAATGCATTTATAATGAAAACTTGGATTTCTCTATCTCAGATATTATTCAGGAACTTGCCGATCTAAAGCCTTATAAATCCTTCGGATCTGACGGCTTGCATCCCTTAATACTCAAGATATGTGCCAAAAGCTTTGCAATTCCATTAACAAAAATCTTTCATAAATCCTTTAATTCTGGAGTAGTACCCACTCAATGGAAATTAGCAAATATTAGTCCGATCTATAAAAAAAAGGGAGATAAATTACTTGCTGAAAACTATAGACCTATTTCACTAACATCTGTTGCCTGTAAAATCTTTGAAAAACTTGTAAAGAAAAAAATTTTAAAGCACATTAACGATAATAAAATGCTCTCTGCAAATCAACATGGCTTCCTTTATCATAAATCATGCGTAACTAACCTAATAGAAACTTTTGATATCATTTCGTCCTCCATAGCATCTCACCAATTTATTGATGTAATCTATCTTGACTTTGCCAAAGCGTTTGACTCTGTTCCTCACAACAGACTTTTGTTAAAATTAAGATCTTTCGGAATAAACGGCAAACTCCTACAATGGATTAAATCTTTTTTAGTGGGCAGAAAGCAACGCGTTACAATTAACAATACCAGCTCTGCATGGGTTGATGTTCTCAGTGGTGTTCCTCAAGGTTCTGTTCTCGGCCCGCTCCTCTTCATTCTCTACACAAATGATCTCGCAAAACTCACTGAAACTTCTGAGATATTTGCCGATGATACTAAACTTTTTTCTAAAACCTTATCGCAATCTAATTTTGTTGATCTGCAGGATCGTCTACGCTTGGTATACGAGTGGTCAAACACTTGGTTACTTAAGCTAAACACTTCAAAATGCTGCGTCATTCATTACGGTCGAAACAACCCCCATTACAATTACTTTCTTCAAAATAACCAAGGAATCAACCAATCTCTAAGAAGCTCTACTAAAGAACGTGATTTAGGAGTCATTTTTACATCTAACCTCAAGTGGAGCGCTCATATTCAAACAGTTGTCTCTAAGTCCTTACAAATTCTCGGTATGCTGAAAAAGACATTCACTTTCATTGATGAAAAAATGACTCTCAAATTATATAAAGTATTTATAAGACCACATCTTGAATATGGAGTGTCCATTTGGGCTCCTTTTTTAAAAGCTGATATGGCTTTGGTTGAATCTGTTCAACGCAAAGCTACAAAATGGGCTTACAGCTTGAGGCATCTTCAATACTGCGAAAGGCTAAAAAGATTAAACCTACCATCACTTGAGTTTCGACGCCTTCGATGCGATTTAATCCAAATTTTTAAATTAATACATCGTTTTGATATAGTTAATGATAAATATCTACCAAAATATATTAACTCCGTGTCTCGTGGTCACCATTTTAAAATAAGGCGTGAGTATGTTCTAAACTGTCTTCCAAGATATAATCATTTGTATAATAGATCAGCAAAATACTGGAACAATCTACCAGAGCAAATAACTTTGTACTCCACTGTACTTTCTTTCAAAAATAGGCTAGACTCCTGGTTGTGGAAAAAGTTTGGAACAAATATTTATAAAACTGGTTGTTTATAGTGGGGTGTTTCCCCTGCTCGCTGTATGTGTACATTCTATGTAAATTTACGGCTACAACTATAATAATAATAATAATATGGTCGATCTAT